ACGGAGGGGCTTGCGGAGCAGGCAGGCAAGGAGTGGCCTGGGCGGGACCTGGCAGCACCGATCCTACCCCAGGCTGGGATGACCTCTCAGCACCCTTCCAGCCTGGATCTCCACCCTCCGCAATCCCAGCTTTGGGCACTCGGAGGGGGAGCCCCACCCTGATCCAGCACAGCCTGTGCTGAAGCCCTGCCCTGGCTAATCAGAAGCGTATGTGCCTGCGGAGGAGAAGGTCCCTGCCTCAGCCAGCACAGCCCTACCGGGCCCTGAGGTGGTGCTATAGGGCCCAAAGAGTCTGTAGGTCCACACACGCCCCCAGGAGGTGCTATAGGGTCCAGAGAGTCTGTAGAGTCACACGCAGGCCCAGGAGGTGCTATAGGGCCCAGAGAGTCTGTAGGGCCATGCACACCCCCAGGAGGTGCTATAGGGTCCAGAGAGTCTGTAGTCACACGCAGCTCCAGGAGGTGCTATAGGGTCCAGAGAGTCTGTAGAGCCACACGCAGGCCCAGGGTGGTGCTATAGGGCCCAGAGTCTGTAGGGACATGCACACCTCCAGGAGGTGCTATAGGGTCCAGAGACTCTGTAGGGTCATACACACCCCAAAGAGGTGCTATAGGGTGCAGAGTGTCCACAGGGCCATGCACACCCCCAAGCCAGCTCTATAGGGTCCAGAGAGTCTATAGGGCCCTACCCAGCCCCAGGGCAGTCTATAAGGGCCAGAGAGGTCACTGGTGCTGCGCTGAGGTCACTGTCCCCTTCCGCCCTGCAGCTGCCTGAAGGAGGACTTGGAGTTCATCATCGCCAACTCCCACGGCATGGGCGCAGCACTGGGGATCTGGCTGATCATGTGCATCTACACCCTGCTGGCCCCCTATGCGACTCTGGCGCTCTGGGCCCACGCATCCCGCACCACACGCCACCCATGGCTTCTGGTGGCCAGCGTGGTGGGGGCGCTGCTGGGGGGCCACACCGCTGTGCTGGGCATCTTCCCCATCTACACCATGGTCCACCAGCAGATGCAATACATCCCCAAGGTCATCCTCATGACAGAGCAGGTGTGCAGAGGGTGGTGCCAGGACAGGGTGGGCAGGGCATAAGGCAGGTGGCTTAGAGCAAAAACCCTACCCCCATTTCCTGCCTGCTGCACCCTGGGCCAGCACCACAGGGTGCAGCAGCTGCCCAGATGTGGGGACAGTCCCCGCAGGCCCCAGGGCAGAGGAAAGAGGCGCCCATGCCCCCTGCAGCCATGGCTGGGGCAGTAGCTCCCAACACCGCAACCCAGCCCTTCATGCCCTCCACTCCCCAGCTGCGGCTCCTGATGAAAAGCCACTCATTCCTGCGGGAGACAGTGCCCAATCTCCGTGCCCAGACGACCGCTGGTGAGTGCCACCCCCTGCACCAGGGTACCCCTGCAGCCACCCCAAGCTCCCAATTGCTTCTCTCCGCCAGGGAAGGTGAAGCTGCCGGCCTTGTCCACCTACCTGTACTTTCTGTGCTGCCCCACACTGCTGTACAGGGAGACCTACCCCAGGTGAGCCTGAGGGCACCAGGGCTGCCAGCTGGGGGCCGTGGGGACAGACGGAGGGGCATTCAGGGGACTGAGTCCTGGGGAGGACTCCAGCCTGCCCTGGGTGTCCTGGGCACTGACCAGCCCTCCTGTCCTGCTAGGACCTCTGTCATCCGCTGGAGAGTCGTGGTGGAGAACTGTGCCAAGGTGAGAGCAGCTGGGCCCTGCTGGCACGGCCCGTGCCCACCCGTCCTTGTGGCCTTGGTGCCTATGCCACGCAGCATGACCCATACCCACCCATCTGTGACCTGGGTGTCCATGGGTCCTTCCCGGCATGACCCACACCCACCCATCCCTGCGGCCTGGGTGCCTATGGGTTCCTGCTGGCACGGCCCGCACTCACTTGTCCTTGCAGCCTGGGTGCCCGTGGGTTGCCACGGGGCCAGGGCAAGGGGAAGCATCACACCTGTCTGTGCCCTGCAGTTCCTGGCCTTCGCCTTCTTACTGGCACTCATCATGCGCCGTTTGTCCAACCCGGTGTACATCCACCTGAGCCTGCAGCCCTTCCGCCTCGAGACATTTGTGCCAGCTATGTGCAACACCATCCTGCCTGGTGCGCAGGGCCCGCTCGCTCCCCTGGGCTGGGGCACTGGGTAGTGTGGAGCGGCTGCTGCAGGGGATGGCAGGGCCCCAGTGAGGGTGACCGGGTGGTGACATGAGCCCGGAGGTGGGGGTGGCAGGCAGTGCCAGGGGCCCCCAGGGGTCTGATGTGCCCGCTGTGCCCCCCTGCAGGCACTGTGATGCTGTTGATCTCATTCTATGGCATCCTGCACTGCTGGTTCAACGCCTTCGCTGAGGTGCTGCGCTTTGCCGACAGGGGCTTCTACCAGGTGAGGGCAGGCGGGGGGTGGAAAGCGGGGCTGGGTTGCCTGGCAGTGCCCGCAGAGCCCTCCCGGTGCTGCAAGGGGGGCAGGCACCCATGCCAGAGGCCTGGCCACGGGGGCCGAGGAGCAGGGGGTGCAGGCAGGCGGTCCCCAGGTCACGCGCATCTCCCCCCAGGACTGGTGGAACGCCACATCCTTCGCCACCTACTACCGCAAGTGGAACAGCGTGGTCCACGACTGGCTCTACCTCTACATCTACCAGGACCTGTTCTGGGTACGTGGACCGGGCTGGCAGTGGGGCAGGGAAGGTGGGCACTGCCCAGAGCCCAGCCCTTAGCTCGGGTCCGTTTGCATTCACGGCCACAGCCTGGCTGCCCAGGGGACTCTGCCCGCAGCCATGTCCTGGCTCCAGCTGGGGCCCAGCCCAGCTGTTGTGGGCCCACTCTGCTTGGAGTTGTCCCCAGGCCTTGGCAGCTGACTCTGGCTCTGAGCACCCTTGCTTTGCAGCTCTTCGGAAAGAAGTGGCGGGTGGGCGCCATGCTGGCCACCTTCCTCCTGTCTGCCATTGCCCATGAGTACATAGTTGGTTTCGGCTTGGGCATCTTCTACCCCATCCTCTTCTGCAACTACACCATCTTCGGAGGTGAGCACACCACGGTCCCCCGCACCGCAACCAGGCTGAGCCCCATGCCCTGAATCCCCACGCCCCCTGGGTCCTGCTGGGCTCAGCCCCAAGTCCCTCGTGTCCCCAGCTCTGCTACTGTGGCCTGAGGGGAAGGACCCCCTGAGCCCTGAGTTTCTCCCTACCATGCTGCCCCTTGCCCCCAGTCTCAGGCAGGCAGTGGTGCCTTGGCCACGTCTCCTGCCCATGGCTGGCAAGGGTGATGGCCTTTTAAGTCCACCTGCATCGTCCTGAATTGCATCCGAAACACGGGGCTGGGGAGGCATCGGGGGCCAGCAGGGATGAGGGTGCTCTGTGGGGACCTCACCACCCCCAGCCCCGCTCTCCTGTCTCCTCAGTGCTCTTCAACTTCGTGCTGAACGACAAGCGCAGGCGCCCGGCATGGAACGTGGCTGTGTGGGCCTTGCTCTTCGTGGGGCAGGGCCTGCTGGTCGCGCTGTACAGCCTGGAGTACTATGCCCGTGTCCACTGCCCGCTCCAGGTGAGCCCAGGGCTATTCGTGGCAGCCACAGGCCACGCTGCCCTGTGTGGGGCCCAAGCAGGCCATGCCCATGGCCCCGCACAGTGGCAGTCTCTGTCTGCCCGGCGGGGCAGCGAGGTCCGGGGCTGTCCAGAGCCCGCTGCGTCCCTGACCGGGAGCTCTCTCCACAGGACACCTTCTGGGGGCAGCTGACGCCTTGCTCCTGGTCACGTGCCATGTGAGGGAGACCGCCAGGCCCTGCTCAGCCGTGGCGTTTCTGGGCACCCTAGCACCGGGCACCGCTCATTCCTCCAGCTTGGATCTGCCACCGTCGCCAGCCCCTTGGGCTTGCTCCTGCATCCTGTGCCCAGCTCCAGGGACTACAGCTCTCTTCGCACTGGACACCACGGGCCTCCAGCCCCTGCCAGCACCCGCTGTGAAGGCTCCCTGCCCCACAGCCTTGCCTGCCCTCTGCTCAGGCAGCTGCCAGTCCCCACTAGACAGGCAGGCCAGTCAGGGCTCCCCTGGCATCTCCCCACCTACCCAGCCCAGCTCTCCCAGCTCCCAGCCCGACTGGCACAGCACTGAGGCCTGGTTTCTACCCCCTGTACTGGTTCTGCCCCTGCTGTGGGCAGGGCCTCGTTGGCACGATGCCGCCTTGTCGCTCTGTATGGGAGACCTGTGCCCCGCAGCACCTGCTACCAGTAAAGCAACATTTGCACGAGGGTGTCTGTGCACCATTGCTCCAGCTGGTGCATCCATGACGCATTACTGCTGTAGCTAAAGGAGTGGGAGGGCAGGGGGTTATGGCCGTGAAGAGCCACCTGCCTTGCCCACCCCCATGCACCTCTGTTTCCCTGTATGCAAAGCCAGCCCGGCTGCTGCCTCTTGCCGGGGCGGGCATTCATCCAGCAGCAAATGTGGTGCCCAGGGGTGCGGGTTATCCTCAAAGGCCCCGCGCTGGCCAGTTACCAGCAAACTTCCTCAGGGATTGCCCTCCTCCAGGGGGGACTCCCACTCTGGGGGATAATACCTGCTCCACGAGTGACCTTCTTCCCGCTGCAGGGATAAAGCCCCACTCCAGAGTCCCGCTCCAGGGACCCCTCCCTCCCCCTGACTCCAGGGCCAAGCCCCAGGGGTGACCCCCGCTGCTGTCAATCCAAGGGTGACCCCTCCCACTCCAGGGATAACTCCCTCACTCCAGAGGTGTCCCACTGCCCCCCCCGCCATGCCAGGGGTGCCCCCCCCACTCCTACCCCCCACTCCAGGGGTGCCCC